CTTGGCTCATTCTCGACCATCTGAGGGACAGCGCAACCCATACCGCACAGTCGTCCAGGATGACGACTATTGTCGAAAACCTGTCGGAATGCTTGAACTGCAACAGACACCAGTCAAGTCGTTTACCGCCCTCGCGGAGTGTCTCCTGATAGCAGCCAAAGCTGCCGGCGCACAATAGCAGACCTCGATCCGTTCCGAGAGGTGGATAGTCGTCGTTGGCAGGAATTTGACTACGGCCAATTGCAGTGTGGTGTTCTCTTCCCTCTACGGAATCCCGTGCTAGCCAATGCAGAATCATGCCATCTCGATGATCCTGAACCTCGCTGATCCTGAACCTCGCTGGTCCAAGGCTCTCGCGTTCAACGCTGGCTCGTCGCAGCCAAGCTGCGCGTGTCAATGGCATCTCGAGCTTCTAATCTTCCTCTCCAAGATGCGTATAGTGACATGTAGAGCATTGACTGTGCTGCAGAGGAGAATGATGAGCCAAAACGTGGTCATAGCGTGAAGAAGCCACGAACGCAAAGTGTGCACGGTAGAAAGATGTCTGAACGAAGGGAGGTTGTTTTCGACAGAGGCACTGGACTCAGAAGTGGGCTTGGTAGGAATGGTCGCAGGAATGGTAGGCGTAGCTGGGAAGATGGCAAGACGGGCCCGTCGAGAAGCACAGTGACTGGAACGACGAAGCTGTCGGGTGCATCCAGGATGTGATCAGAATATGCTGCTCCAGCCTCTGAGAACATAGAACGCACCCTAGACTTACAGTACTGTACAGCAGCAGCTAACGGAACTTGGCAAATCTGTTTCCCGACCATCCAGACCAGTCCTCGAGTGTTGTGTGCGCAGGCGCCATGGGGCATCGTTCTCGGCCCAGAGGCGGCTCGGCCTGGGCCATGGTGGGTGGTCGAGACCGCAGGGGGGGGGGTTGTTGTTTGTGGTCGATTAACGCAGGGCCAGGGCGGATCGAACTCCAGCGAGCCACTTCCTGCCGGATCCACATTGGACTCAGGACCAGATCGGGCTTTGGATCAGGAACCGCTTCGAGTGGGGCGAC